AGGCAACAGAGAGGAGATAAAAAAAGAAACAGGTATTATAGAAGAAACAGTTATCGGTTTTGACCTGTTTTTCTTAAACCTATATGGCTACAAAGGCTGTTTTCAATTTACTATTTCGTACATGCAGACATACGACAGTTATTATGAATTTATGAGGTTAACTGATGCAGTTACTTGGATTCTGTTAGGAAAGCACCTAGCAGTGATGAAGAGGTGGACAAGGAAGATAACATTGACCAAAGCATAACAAAGTCAGAACCTAGGGATAAAGAAAGCTCCAGGAGACGAAGGTAATTAAAGTTCTGTATGCTTTCATATGTAATTTCAGTAGCACAATTTCTTCTACCTATCATGGGCTGATGGGCATGTATTACTTGGTCTTTGTTATAGGAAAGCACCTAGAAGTGATGAAGAGGTGGATGAGGAAGATAACATAGACCAAAGCAGAACAAAGTCAGAGTCTAGGGATAATGAAAACTCCAAGAGAAGAAGGTAATAAAAAGTTCTATATGATTTCATATGTAATTTCGAAGGAACAATTTCTTCCGTCTCTCATGGGCATATATATCATTTGATTATAGGGAAAGATCTAGCAGTGGTGACACTACTGATGAAGAGGTTGAAAGGAGCAATGATGGATAGAAAAAAGGTTCGAAACTTGTTGATTTATTATTATTGATTGCTATATCAGCTTTTCCAGTTATTTGCGTCCGGCTTCATTGTTGTCTTGTCATACTCTACACTCAACTGATATATTTCCAACTTGCTATAACGCTGCACAAATCATCTCTTGCTTTGCAACCACATTAGGCAGGCTCAAAACTTAGCAGTATGAGGCAACGCGTATAATTAGGAAACCTTGAACTGATGTTAAGAAAATGAAGCCAAACCAATAGTATAGCCAGGCCTAAGAAATATACCATCCAGGCTTGTCATTTACATATCATTTTGTTGTTTGAAATTCATTGCTCAAGTTCCTATTAAACTCACAGGAAAAAGGGCCTTAGTTTCGGGTGCAAATAACGAAGATGATGAAAACTTTGATGAGTTTATGGAGGGAATGTTCCCGTGATGTTCCTGCAGAGTCTGAATTTTACTATTGTAAATTGTAAAGAATGTTATAAGGTGTACTGTATTATGTTTTTGATTTGTATTATAACCCGTGAACAATTTCTATTGTACAATCATGTACCATGGTGGTTGCGTGTCGGCAAATCATGATTAAAATCCAATTTTCTTGGAGATTAGATGTAATACATTGAGGGCTAATTTATGTTTTATGTAGCTATTCCCTTTTAGGCGTAAAGTGATGATTACTTGTGTGCAATTAAGGAATGCTTATGAATGAATAATGGTTATTGTGTGTTATCGGAGTCATCGGACGTCATCTTGCGGATGTGCACGGTCCCGTGATATAATTAGTGATTAGGTTAACATTAACAAAAGTAGTTGTGACTTTAATTTGTGAGTGGTGGTGTTGACATGACATACGATTGTCACCATCATCAATTAACCTTTGGCCTTGCCATTATTTGTCGATGGATTTATAGATAAGCAAACATTTGCTTGTGGCCTAATCTTAGTCTTTTTCCACCACTATGCTCTTCTCTTTTATGCACTTAACACTTAACTCATTTTATATGTGTACTACTGCAACTACTAACTTCGTACATAACATCATCGTCTCCAAAAACTAATTTATAAACTAAAATAGTAATGGTTTATGATTAAATTTCCATACATGATGTGAAGATGATTGAAATGACCTGAATTTCAACAAAAGGTTTAAGGTCATGAGTTTAACTTCTTATAAGGGGGCTTTCTTGAGAATCTAGACTTAATGATTCGTTTGGTAGGTGATTATAGTTGACATTGATGGTAAAGTTTACTATATAAATTTGTATGGAAGTGGCATTCATGTTACAATAATGCAATTCAGTTTAAAAGGGGTTAAAATTTAAAAGTAGACAATATTAATGCAATGATAGAGGAAAGGAAAGTACAAACTTAACAGAGATGTACTTTAGTAGTTTTTTGAATTCTAGTATGAGTTGTGAGTTGTGACAAAGGGCTTGTTCCAATTGACTGAAATGAGCTGAATTGAACTTGTTGAAGCTGAATTGAATATTTTATGAGAGAATGAAATTAAGATAAGAACTGAACTGAACTTATTGGAGCTGAACTGATCTGAAAATAAACTGAAGAGAACAGAACCTAAGAAGCCACCACGTAGCTATCCACTTAGCTAATGGTGAAAGTAATTCGATTTTTTTTTTTTAAAATTCGATTTGAATAAATATAAAATATGAATTGCGATTTGGATTCAGTTTGAAAAATTTTTAAAAACCGAAAATTGAATTACATAAGCAAACCCAAATATCGCATATCCAAATATGCCTCCAAGCCCCAATAATATAAACCTAAAAGAAAAAACGCTAATTCTCATTGTCCCCTTTTAGTTTCCTTCTCATGTTTCGTCTCTGCTCTCTCACCCATTCTGGCCACTCAACATTTAGTTCTTAGAGCCTAAACTGATTTACTGAACCGAACTGATTGGAGCTGAAAAGAAATGAACTGAATATTTTTTGAAGGAAGGAAATTAGGTTCTTAACTAAACTGATTGAAGATGAACTAAACTGAATTGAAATTAAGTTGAAAAGAACAAGCTCTTAGTCTTCAATCCTTGCAAATGGCATTGCTGCCTTGTCGAGTTGCTGCAATGGTGCTAACTTGCTGTTAAAACTTATTTGTATATTTTGAAGTTGTTTATGTCATTTATTATGCTAATAAATTTTGGTTTGGTTTGGTTTAGATTTAATATTGAAAGAATTTAAAACGGTTTAGATTTAATTAGACCGAATATGAATTGATTTGCATCCGATTTGAGAAATTCAAAACCGAATTAATTTAGATTCCTAAACCCCTACACTTAACACGTGCTCTTGATACATACTTTACTTACTCAGTAGTATTGAAGTGTTTTTAGTTATTGGTAGAAATGCTACCTATGTTTGAGACATTACGCCGTCTCCCCGACTACCTTATCTTAACTTGGGCTTGACTCATTATTTTTACTCTGCTTCTAGTGAGACGACAGCTGTGCGTTTGAATTCATCAACACGTGGCACGTTGTTGTATGTGCTAGCCCACCTTAAATGATCATGTATTCCTATGACACGTGGTGCCGTGGCAACCAACTTGATGGGAATAATGTACAATGATTGTACACTTTCTTTGTACTTCCTCCCTTTTACAACACTTACATATTATTTCTATTTAGGTATTTCAATCTTACTCCTTAATATTTTTTTATACCTTAATTGTATACATGCATATTGGCTGTTACTTCTTCATTACTTCTGTCAAAAGCATGGGAACGTGGTTTTTGTTTAATGTATTTTTTAACAATAAATTATTATAGGGAGAACCCTCACCCTATCACAAGATTAGCTGATTAGGGAAGATGAGGAATCAAACCCCATCGCTTCTCTTCCATCTCCTAAATCCTCGGTTTTTTTATTTTTTTAATTGTATAACATATATGTGGATTATCAGTTTGTTACTTTCAAAGTATTTAATTTGCTAATCCGAGTCAAGTTAAGATGTGTAGGATTTCGGCTTGATAGGGTAGTTATTCTTTTTTTAAAAAAAATACAGTGAAATAAAATTATGTGGTGTATAAACTATAAAGTATACAACACCACCAATATACATGCTTTACTATATACTTGGAAAGGTAATCTTAACATAATAAAAAATAGTCAGAGGTAACACATAGTCATTTTTTAAAATTGTTTATTACATTAATACTAGAATAAGTTGAAAAGGTTTAGTGATGATCTAAAGTCTAAATCATGAGAGCAATATTGGAAGCACTACTTTTAAGAAAATTGAATATAGGTAGGTTCGTTGTATGCTGTAAATATTCACAAATTTTCATTATTTATCTCAATCTCAGAGTTGGGACTTTGGGTGCCATTGTCGTTTTCCTCCTCATTAAATTTATAATCTACTACTATAGGTTCTTGTAGAGTTGTAGTTTGTATAATTGTATGTACACTTTTAGTCCCTTTTGATTTTTATTTATTTTTTTTAATAAGAAAACTCCTTTTGATTTTAAATGCCGTTGGATATAGAATAGAGTTACATATATTATTTAAATCTATCGGTTTTAGTTAGTGTATAGAACTTAAAATTTTATAATAAAAAATTTAGTAAGAGTTCAAAATTACAATAATTTGGATGAAATCCATCTCTTCAAAACACCGCTTAAAATGATTAAAAGGGTATGTCGTATGTATGTATATGTGTATGAGATAATAAATGTTCTTTAATTGTGTTATTTGTATACGTTTACATGACTATAATGTATTCGAATAGCTTTGACATCTCTCATCATTGTATTTTAATAAAATTATTATAATCAATAAAAGTGAAGTCAAATAAAGAGTTAAAATAAGAAACTAACTATGGGTAATAAATGTGTAATTACTGGACATATTAGTACGGAGTAGCAAGGTGATAAGTGATCGTTCCCAAGTAATATGGATAAGAAGCCAACAATAGCTTGATAAGACTCTTACGATTTTACCTCATATTCTAGAGTTTTAGGATTTTAATACTATCAAATGAGGGTATTTAGGATAGTGTTTGACTAGCAGATACTAATTACTCTCCTCTATTTTAAAGTGTTTAACCTAAATATTAAACCAATAAAATTGTAAGGGTTGATATCTGATCAAGACCCTCCTTAATTCCTTATCATTAAGATAGTGACAAAACACTTAAAAATGGTACGGGTGTAATAAAGATGACTAAGCACTTAAAATAAAAATGAAATGCAAGAAGAAGATGATAGAAAATTGGTTAAAAAGGACAGCAAGGGCATAGAACAACTCTTGCGTGTATACCAAAAAAAGAAAAAAAAAAAAACCAATTATTATTTACTCATCCATCTATTTATCTATTATTTTAATTAATAATAGAGTGAATAAAAACAAAAATAAAAAAAAGGAAAAAGAAAAAGGGGTTAATATCTGGCAGAAGAGCAATTTGTGTGTATGAATCTGAATTCTGAAAACAATAAGCAAGTTGATAGTTTCTCGTATGTTGGTGGTGTTGTCTCTCTTAAGGGATGCAAAGTTACCCAACACATCACTCTTAATTCTTCACTTCCCTTTTTAACTTTATCTTCTTCTTCTTCTTCCTTTTCTTTCTCTCTGTTTTCTGGGAATTCTCCAACTTCTTCTGCTTTCTTCAGTCCCACCTGTAAGCTCTTTCTCTCTCTTTTCTTACTCTTGACTTTTGTTTACTAACTACTGTTTTTCTTTTACTTTTCCTCCTTTTTTCTGGGGTTTGATCCCTATTTCTGTTATCATAATCCCTTGATTATTCTATTTTTCTGCTTACTTTTTAGGATTGTTTTCTGAATTTTATTTATGGGTTATGTAATTTCTTATTCAATTAATTCATGGAACAAGTTCTACTCTTTTTTTTTTCAATGTTTTGTTCTTCAGATTAACATGGTGTAGTTGGTAGGTAAGGATTTTGGAAATTTGTTTGATGCCCTATTGTGATTAATCATCTAATTATTAATTAACTAGATTTGATTTTGCTTTCTCTGATTTCTTCTGTTGTAATTTGAATCTTGCTGATTTTCATGTTTAGGGATTTAATTACAGCAAGGAACTACTGTAAATTAATGACTTTTTTAGGTTATCCATTTGATATGTTACATGTTAAAGTTCCTAGCTTTCTTTCTGCTAATTTTTTTTTGAAAACTATTACTATTGTTGAAATTAATTTAGGATTTTATCTTGACTTTTTCAGGACATTATTTTCTGAGTTGCTTTTAGTTTTACTGATCATAAAGTCTGTAGATCTTGAGTTTAGAAAGTATTGGGTAACCTAATTTGGGGAGATATAATGCCCTCTAATGCTGGAAATGTGGAAGATCGGTTCCAAGTCGATGGAGGAGGCAAACCTCAAAACATGTTGTTTGGACAGCCATGGTGGCGCGGTCTGAATAACAATGGTGTCTCTCCTACTTCAGCTTCGAATGATTCTTCTACTCGATCGTCTAGTGGGGAGCCAGTAAATGGTTCTTCCTTGGCTGGCCCTTTTTCATTGCAAATCAATGGGATGCAGGACACTGGAGCTAGTGTTTATAGAGAGATCCACACTGCATTGGCCCCTCAATCGGGTATGCATCTATTTTCTACGCGTGCTGTGATAATTAGTTGTCTTTTTATTTTATTATTATTTTTTTAAATTCTTGTTCTAAGAGTATATTGTTGTGATCTTATGATGTTTGTTGCCAATCTTTACATATTGATGATAGTAGGATGGATGTGAATAAGATCATATCGATAGGAGGATGTGAATAAGGTTTTATTGAATATAATGACTGCAATTGTACAGTATTCTGAAGTAACAATATTACCATGTGAAGCAGCCTAAAACTTAAGATAAATAACACTTGAATTTTGCATATAATTCGAAATCTCCTTTGTTTTCTGTATTAAGAGGGGGCTGAAAGCAGGGGGGTGGGGACTGCTTTTGAGGGCTCCTTTACTTTTTGCATCCTGTCATTGGGAGCAGATGGGTTGGATTTTGTGTAGTATAAAATTTCAATGGGAGTGGGTGTGGTGGAATAAATTTGATGTGCATTTTTCAATGTAGTTCCTTTCATGCTTAAGACTTCCTTTTGCTTTGTCTTATGGGAGGTACTTACACATTTTATTATTTTTTGTTTTAAGAAGCAGAGAGGGATAACACACAAGAGACCAAACAAGTGCCATCTTCAATGCCACAAAATCTTGGAGATCAGTCGAATCCTCAAATGGAATTTGTTGGCCATTCAATTGTAAGAATCTCACCCTAAGTTTCTTTAAAGATTGACTTGTGAACCTGTGTAGGAGTTCACTATGATTTTGTTGGTCTGTCCTGATTAACTAGATGATTATGACTGTATGATAATGTTGGTGTTAATTGAAGAAATTGGGTCACAAATATCTGATTTGTGTTTGTACCCTTTTACTTTGGCAGGCTATGACATCATACCCATTCCAGGATCCGACTTATGCTGGAGCTATGTCTTACGCTCAAGTACAACAGGTATGTTTGGAAGTGTTTTATGCCCATCAACAACTGTGACCTTGCCTCTTGGGTCTCTTTTTAGATTTTGAGTTGTATTATGCCGAATTATGGTTATTATATTTTGGCATTAGGACTTGAGTTGAGAATATGATTTTCGTTGTGAATTTTAAATAGCCTTTTGGTTTGTGTGGCATGCAAACTTAAACTGGAAAAAAGTTATTATTACGGAGTAATTTTTAATTTTTAAAATTAAATACTTTGTCAAAGATATTATGGTTTTGTCTTTCACCTTATTTCCACTTATTTCACGAAATATAAGTTCAAATGAGTTCTGTTCTGCTAATGGTTATTAAGGGATTATCTTCTTTCTACTTACAAAGTAAGTACGTATAAGTTTTGTTAATTCAAATAAGTTAAGTAAAAAAAAGTTCAAATTAGTTATTTTAGGTTAGAGGATGAATAAGCACTTTAAATCATAAGAAATCTGAAATTAATATCATTAGACATATACTATTTGAGATAGAGATTACACTAAAATATCAAAAAGCATAAAAAGGAAAAGGTCAAAGGAGGTGACATGTGGTGCCATGGGTTGGGTTTTTAAATACTAGGTATAGAAGTTTATATGATTGGCTTTATGACCTCTTATCTACTTTGGCTGAGGTTAACAAGAAGGATAATTTATGTAGTATAGGTGTATAATTTGTTAATTTTATTTTTTGAAAAGGTTTTATGGATTATTGAATGATAGGTAAACCAGGTTGTCCCCTTTTTATGGTATGTACAATCACTTAATGTGTGGAAATACCTCAGTAAATATTCTCTTTTCCACTCGTATTATCTTAGGTGATTCCTCAACTGTATGGATTGCACCAGAGTAGGATGCCTCTGCCCCTTGCAATGGAAGAAGAACCTGTTTATGTTAACGCAAAGCAGTATCATGGAATTCTAAGGCGCAGACAGTCACGTGCTAAAGCTGAGTTGGAAAAGAAAGTTATCAAAGCTAGGAAGGTATGTGTGCTTTCACATATATATAATTACAATCAATGTACTTTTATTTTACTGCTGCATTTGACTTTTGCGTCTTTCTCTCAATTTGTTTTTGTTGGGGCATAGGAAGGCCGAGAACAGTTTCAGTGTCAGGAGACTAGACCTGTGCTGTCTAGTCTCTCATCTACTTTTGGTTAACTAATTGATGAAATCTTCACATAATTTTGTTCTTCTACTTTATTCCTTTTACTGAATCGTCCTTCATAATGTGATATTGCAGTTTGGTAATTTCTGTTGTCTGAAATAGTTGTCAATGTTGTCATCTTCTCATGTGGCTATGAGCCTATGACTCACATTAATTGATAGTTGGAATTTCTTGGTAATTGTAGTAATAAGAATAACATAGTTTCCTGTTTCTTAATCTGAAGGTTTTTATCATCATTTGCTCATCTAAATCCATTTTTGTTTGATCATATGTCATCACTAAACCTATATGTTCACAGTCCTTTGCATGCAGTGTAGTGTGTTTTCATTATTATTGGATTTCGCTCCCCAACTTAATTAAAGGATGCTGCTTGATTACAAAGAAAAAATATTGATGGTATTGAGGATTTGGACATTAAAATATAGGAAAGTTGTATCTTGATTATACTCCCTCCATTAAATTTTTATGCAATAACCTTGTAATTACCCATTGTCATCTTCACTATAGTTGAACTCAAGCTTTAAAGTTAGATTATTACTCCTGCTCCATATTGCTCATTAATGATGAACAGAGTGGCTTTCTTTGAAGCTGATTTTATGTACTTTAGTTCTGGGGATGATTCATCGTCAAGAGAAGGAAGGATTTGGGTGATTCAAGCAAATGTAGTGAGAACCTTTCCACAGGTAGAAAAATTCTCTGCTGAAATTGGAAGGGATTTTTTTCCAAAATTCAAGCAGAATCTTTTGGACACTTAGCACCCCTATTTGACACCAGATCTTAGAGTCTTTGCCTAAACAAAGTTTATTGCATCTCTGAGGCCCTCTCCATAAGCTGATGAACTATTTCACGTCTCCTAAAAGCATCCTTGGGTCTAAAGGATCCATACCCACATGTCATGTCAAACCCAAAATAACATGACAAATACCAATTTCAAGGCTTTATGATAGAGATATTATAGAAATTCTTGCCATCCTCATTGCTTTTACCGTTTTCTTTTTAGCATTATAAAATAATTGTCAGTCTTTTTTTTTTTTAAATTCTAGTTTTCCTGCTGCATTTTGTCAAGTTTAGAGATGGTTTCACCAAGACATGATTTACTTCACTACTTCATGTATGGCATTGGAAGTGTTGTTTCTCAGATTTTAATGCATGATATGCATGCTATAAACCCCTCGCACATAGTAATGTGTTTGCCTTGATCAATCAAATAACATGGGCATTGCATTGCAGCTACTTTGGTTTCCATTGTTATACGCATTATTAGACATAGAATTAGTTCTTTGTTCTTTGATCTTTGATAGGGAGATAGGTAAATATGCAATCAATGTACTATTATACATAGAATTAATTGTTTTTTAGGGAGTAAATTAGGTAGTCAGGATAGTAAATGAGATGAATATTTTGCTTGTCTTGGCGTTGACGAGGCCTGCTAGCTGTGGTAACTAGCTTAGATGTGGGCGGGAGCTCCTTCCTAGAAGGTTTGCTAACCACTGTCATTTACTTAAGGTTGGCTTGGGTTGAGCTCTTTTCTATGAGATTCACAAATGTTTTGATGTGCTTCTTTTTGTGGTATTTTTCTTACTGAGGTCATTTAATTTCTGACTATACTGTTGTATTTCCGTCTCCTCTGCTAACTAGCGCAATTTACTTTTACTCACTTTTCCCCATCATATATTTATGCTGCTTCTTAGTTGATGCAAGCTTTTGTCTTGGTTTTGGATGGATTAATTTTGATCTATATTTTTGGGGCCTTTTTTACAGCCATACCTTCATGAATCTCGTCATGTACATGCTTTGCGAAGGGCTAGAGGTGCTGGAGGCCGTTTTCTCAATACAAAGAAGCTTGATGGCAACGATGCCAATAATGCTGCATCAAAAGCAAATGCAAATACAGCAACCAACCTTCAAATATGTTCCTCTGGTTCAGCACGTGCTGAACACTTGTCCACAACCTATTGTGCAAATGCAGGTTCTTCTTGGAACCAGCAAGAATCGAGAGGTTTGATGATTTCAGACATACACAAAGCGGATTCACATTCTAGTGGCAGCACTAATGTTCACGGTCTTTCATCAACATACCTATCATTTTCTGGTGCAAATGAAGAAAGAAACAACTATGGTCAGGGAGGAATGAAGGTGAATGGGGCTGTTTCTGTCAAGTAGGATCCACTTTACGCTTGAAGGGACGGCTGCCTCCTTATTGTCTGGTACTTACATTATACTAAAATTAACATAGTCCTTCAGATATTTGTCTGACTGACTTTACTTAACAAGTTTTCCTGGAAAACTAAATTTCATTTGCCTTTTGACATGTGAATAGTCGCAGTTTCAATTTTGTTGGCTGTTTATTTATAGGGAACAATTGCTTCTACTTCTGAACTCGGTAGTTGTGGGAACTTGAGGATGAAACCCTTGGAGCAATTATGTTTTGTTTGACTTGATTTCTGTCTCGATGCAGGTTATGCAAGCAGTATTGGGCCCATTCAATCATGGAGGACAGCCCAGTAACCCTTCCAAGTATGTGGAGTCCCAGGCAACTCATTCTTGGCTTTGGTTTATGTGGTTTACCCGGGTCGGGATGGAGGAGGAAATACAGGGTAGTAGGACTATGTTGTAATTTGCCTGCTCCTATTTATCCTCCTCCTACAATCAACTTATCTATTGTGTATAATGTACTGAGCTAATCTTGTAGAATTTTAAAGGATTGACATTTCAAATTGTGCGTGGATCTATTGTTTAAACTATGAAGGATTCGATGAAACAATAATGGATAATGGTGTGCCTCTCTTATAGGTTTTCTGGATGTGTTCCTTTGTTGGAGTTAGTATAGCACTGTGTATATATATAGTTAAATGGAGCATGGACAAGCGAGACAATTACGGTCTAGGAGGTGTTTTAAAAGCTTTTAGTGATCATATTCTTGTTATTGATCCTCCCTATTTTTCTGGTCATTTATTTACAAATTTTAGTGGTGTATATATCGTCTGTCTTGGTCCATATTTCACTGAAACTCAACAAAGGAGGAATTTCACGTTGCAAAATGTACAAATTTTTTTGAAAGGTAATGTTGTAAAATCAAAGTAATTTCTTAAGATAAATAGATTTCCGTTTGTTGGATATCTAAGAATGCTCTTTTCATGTATCTCAACTTGTATGATTTTATTGGTATTCAATGAAATTAAGTTTCCCTAATACCTAGTATTAGTTTCAGTAATTTTGGTTGGCACAAACCAAATAAAGCATAACCTTATAAGTATGTTCTGAACTTGTAAGAGTTTATTACTACCAAATACTACTTCCATTTTTTTTAGTTGACACATTTTGACTTTAGCACTTTTCATACACCTCCCTTTGACCGTATTTTGTGCTTTATACGTAATGGAAAATGATTAGGGGATTTTTATCCACCAATCACCGTCTGACAAGTGGACCAACCAGGTTCCGCCACGTGTCCTTCACGAAGGACAACAGGAGCCTGCCACGTGTCAATCACAGATACGTCCTCTACGGACCACTTTAGACACGCCACGTGTCCACCCATGCCAAATGGGAAAACCGGCCATCAAGGCCCAATCCAGTCTAGAGGCCCGATCAGCCCTAGGTTTACCTTAAACCTAGAGAGTTGCACGCTTCTCAAGGCTATAAATACTCAATTAATCCTCATTAATCACAGAATCGAATAATCAAGAGATCAAGCAGAGAAGAACAGAGTCATTAACAACCGGCTAATCTCGCTAACGACGCAGATTACCAACACTAAGCACTCTCACCTAGAGAGATCTCATTACTCTAATTTCTGTATTAATTACTCCTTAATCAGGTACTAACTTGACCGTTGGAGGCGGAGCTCTCAGGAGTCTCCGTTATTTTGCAGGTACAGGCGTCCGGTTCCAGTCTCGGAATTGTAACTCTCCCGCAGGACATCAGAAAACCCCGAAACATTTGGCGCCGTCTGTGGGGAGAGTACTTCAGAGATGGCATCCAAGTCTGTACCGACTCCAGAAGAGAGGCGTCCCCTAGACGACCCTCAAGTTCAGTCGGACCATGATACCGAAAGTGAATTTGAAGTTGAAACTCATACAGCTCCAGACGGGACCCTAAGGGCCCGACGTACCCGTCATACCGAAAGGAGGGAACGGGAGCATCTTCAAACAGGAAGTGAGCCAGCAGGCGCACCGCTTGCTCGGCAACAGCCGACTGATGGGTCTGCTCCCATCACAAGGAACGAACTCATGACCTTCATGAGGGACTTCAAGGGAGAGATTCAAGAGTTGATCAACAAAAAACCGCCTGCTTCAGTCAAAGAGCAGTCGGCCAAGAAACCTTCCACTTCACTGAAGAGGAAGCCAGTTCAAGGGCGGGAGGCGACTCCCCATCCTAAATCCAAGAAGCGGGAGCCACCTGCTCTTGATTTCACAAAACTCCGTTATCCTACGGGAAATAGGAAACCGGTTCGTCATATTCAGGCGGATGGGTCAAAGCAAACGTTCACAGATGCTCGGCACCTGCTAGAGCAGAAGAAGAGTGATCGATTATCAGAGTCGGCTTCTACTTCAAATTTTCAGGACAGTTTGCGAAATGCCTCGATGAGGCATACTCAGTCGTACCATGAGAGTCAGTCAGGCGGCACCTCCCGTCAGTCCGGCTTTCATAGTGCCCAGGCGGTACCAAACTTACCATTTGTGCCGCAACAACAGTATTTTATGCAGCCACCTCCATTTGGTGGACCTGCAGCAAAAAACGTCCAACCTATGGACTGGCAGCTACGGCTGCTTAGACTTGGTGAACAGCCGTCGGCCTTCTCCAAGGAAATTACTGAAGCCGCTCAGCCGGCCAAAGTAAAAAATGTTCTAGTAGGCGCCTATGACGGCACTACTAACCCAGAAGACCATCTGATGACATTCACCAACCTGATGTACCTTCAAGGGTTGGATGATCCCACTTGGTGCAAGTGTTTCCCAGCGACTCTCAAGGGAATTGCACAGCAATGGTTCGGCAACCTGCCAACTGGTTGTGTAAACAACTTCAGGACGCTTGCTTACTTATTTGCCTCCAACTTCGCTATGAACATCCCTGCGAAGAAAACGACCCTTGATTTGGGAACAATTCAGCAGGGCGAGAAGGAGGGGCTTCGTTCTTACATCAGGCGGTTCAACCTGATGAGGATACAGATTCAAGGGTTACCGGATGAGGTAGCTTATACTGACTTTTTTAGAGGTCTCAAAGACGGGTCTACCTTTAAATTTGATTTAGTTCGAAAAAGGGTGGCGACTCTTCAAGAGGCCTTGATTGAAGCAGAAGCCTATATACAGGCGACTGATCTGTGTACGATAAAACAGTCGGACGGGAAGAGGTTCGACAAAAGAGAGGGACGACAGAAACAGTCGTCCAACAAAGATGAGAAAAGAAAAGAGGTCTGGGCGGCTGATTCCTCTAAACAGCCGGCCCAGAAAAAGAAAAAAGAATTCAAACCATACTCCCCAAAGTATGTGTTTAACAAGGATAACCAGTTTATCCTAAAAGAAATAAAGGGACGGCTCTCAATTGAGAAGCCGCTCCCCATGAAGGGTTCTGCGAGCAATCGGAACCAAGACAAAATCTGTGCTTATCATGATGACGTTGGTCATCACACCAATGACTGCATCAGTCTCATGCGGTACCTAGACCGCTTGGCTGATCAAGGTGATCTTGACACTTATGTCAAGAAATCTACGGGGAACACTTCCTCAAAAAAGCAGTCGGCCAAAAAGAATCAACAGGCCGACAGTTCCGATACAGATGATGCAGTCGTCTACACCATTGCAGGCGGCTTCTCAGGAGGCGGCCCCACTATTAGGGGCAACAAAGATAATATAAGGCGGTTAGATGTAAATTCCGTTCACCAGGAACAGCCGTCCAAATCTACATTTCCTGAGATTGTCATCACTGAACAGGATCTAGGAGGAATAAGGGGGCCGCATGACGACCCTCTCGTTATTGAATGTAAAGTGGCCAACCAGAGAGTTGGCCGAATCCTCATAGATACCGGGAGCTCCTCAGATCTCATCAGCAGCAAATGTCTGTCAAAACTGAAATATCAGACGGACTGCATACATCCGGCCTCCCACCCTTTAATAGGGTTTGGAGGAGGAGTCGTCCACCCACTGGGACGAGTAGATCTACCCATTCGCCTGGGCGAAAAAGGGGAAGGACGACACATGGTAGTCCGGTTCCTAGTAGTAGAGGAACTCTCGGCCTACAACATGATTCTGGGTCGACCAACCCTGAATAATTCCAAGGCTGTTATAATCCCGTCACTTATGCTGCTTAAGTTTGAAAGGGATAATGGAACAGTCGGCTCCCTAAGGGGAGATCAGAGGATGGCCCGAGAGTGCTATCTCTCGGATGTCAAGCCCACTGTTATGGCCACTGGGTCAAGTGGAGAAAAAACAGACCTTGACAACGTCAAGGAGAGTGCGCCTGTTCAAGAAACAGGCGACAAAAAGAGAAAGGCGCCCCAGACAGAGTCCGCAAGAAAAGCAAGAAAATAGCAATCATTGGCAGAGGACCGGCCGGATGAGTTCCGCCCTCAGCCGGCTGGTGAGCATGCGGACCTGATATTAGACGACTCCCGTCCTGACCGAACAGTCAAAGTTGGGACGACTGCTCTGAGAAACCTTGGTGATGACTTTCACAACCTGTTGAAAGAATACAAGGACATCTTTGCATTTGAAGTCCATGAAATGCCAGGCATTAGTCCTGATCTGGCAGTACATAAACTCGCTGTGGATCCGAAAAAGAAGCCGGTACGGCAAAAGAAGCGGAACCATGGTGAAGAAAGAGGTCAGGCGGCAGCCGCCGAAGTCAAAAAATTACTTGATGCAGGGTTCATTCGGCAATGTTACTTCCCAGATTGGGTTGCAAATGTGGTGCTTGTTAAAAAGCCGAATGGCACCTGGCGAATGTGTGTAGACTACAGAGACTTGAACAAGGCGTGCCCCAAAGACAGTTACCCTCTGCCTAAAATTGATAATCTTGTCGACTCAACAGCCGGCCATGCCTTGATGAGTTTTATGGACGCTTATTCTGGTTTCCATCAAATTCCTTTATGGAAGAAGGATCAGGAGAAGACGGCCTTCGTCACTGATCAGGGATTATACTGTTACACGGTCATGCCGTTTGGTCTTAAGAATGCCCCGGCTACCTTCCAACGAATGATAAACACAGTGTTCTTTGATCAGATTGGGAGAAACGTCGAGGCATATATTGATGATATGATTGTCAAGACTAAACTTCAGAAAGATCATCTGACGGACCTCCGAGAAACTTTCGCCACACTCAGGCGGCACCATGTCATGCTTAATCCCAAGAAATGTGTATTTGGAGTTGAGTCTGGGAAATTTCTCGGATTCCTTATCAATCAGAGAGGAATAGAGGCGAACCCTGAGAAGGTACAGGCGGTCATAGACATGCAGTCGCCTCGTACCGTCCGAGAAGTTCAGAAGTTAACAGGTTGTCTGGCGGCCTTGGGGAGATTCCTAAGCCGATCAGGCGACAAATGCCTATACTTTTTCCAGGCAATTAAGAAAAAGGCAAGGTTTGAATGGGGGCCGGATGCTGAGGCCGCCTTCCAGAAATTAAAAGTTCACTTGCATTCCTTGCCGAGGCTGGTCAGCCCTTTGCCCAAAGAAGATCTCTACATGTATTTGGCTGTCTCTGATCATGCGTTAAGCGCTGTGCTCCTTGCTGAAAGGGACGGCTGTCAGCTCCCGGTCTACTTTGTCAGTCACGTACTGAAAAATGCCGAGTTGAGGTATCCCCTAG